TTAAGCCAGCGGGTGAAGATATTTCGGATGAGGATATTTCCGGTGGCAGTTTTAATCCAGCGGGTGAGGATATCTCGGGTGGCAGGTTTAAGCCAGCGGGTGAGGATATCTCGGGTGGCAGTTTTAAGCCAGCGGGTGAGGATATCTCGGGTGGCAGTTTTAAGCCAGCGGGTGAGAATATTTGGGTGGCAGTTTTAAGCCAGCGGGTGAGGATATTTGGGTGGCAGTTTTAAGCCAGCGGGTGAGGATATTTCTGTGGCAGTCTTAAGCCAGCGGGTGAGGATATCTCGGGTGGCAGTTTTAAGCCAGCGGGTGAGAATATTTGGGTGGCAGTTTTAAGCCAGCGGGTGAGGATATTTGGGTGGCAGTTTTAAGCCTGCGGTGAGCATATTTCGGTGGCAGTCTTAAGCCAGCGGGTGAGGATATTCGGGTGGCAGTTTTAAGCCAGGGTGTGAGAATATTTCATATTTGGGTGGCAGTTTCAGTTTTAAGCCAGCGGGTGAGGATATTTGGCCTGGTGGCAGTTTTAACCAGCGGGTGAGGCCTTTTCGGAGGCGTCTTAAGCCATCGGGTTTGAGGATATCTCGGGTGGCAGTTTTAAGCCAGCGGGGTGAGAATTTTTGGGTTGCAGTTTTAAGCCAGCGGGTGAGTGTGAGATATTTGGGTGCAGTTTAAGCCAGACGTGGTGAGGAAATTTCGGTGCAGTCTTAAGCGGACAGCGGGTGAGGATATTTCGGTGGCAGTTTTAAGCCAGCGGGTGAGGATATCTCGGGTGGCAGTTTTAAGCCAGCGGGTGAGGATATTTCGGTGGCAGTTTTATTTCCGCGGGTGAGGATATTTCGGTGGCAGTTTTAAGCCAGCGGGTGAGGAAATTTCGGTGGCAGTTTTAAGCCAGCGGGTGAGAACTATTTGGGGTTGGCAGTTTTAGCCCAGCGCGTGAGGATATTTGGGTGGCCGTTTTAAGCAGCGGGTGAAGGATATTTCTCGGACGCAGTCTTAAGCAGCAGGTGGAGGATATCTCGGGTGGCAGTTTAAGCCAGGGTGTGAGGATAATTTGGTTGGCAGTTTAAGCCTGCGGGTGAGGATATTTCGGTGGGTGTTAGTTTTAAGCCTGCGGGTGAGGATATTTCGGTGGCTGTCTTAAGCCCAGCGGGGTGAGATTATCTCGGGTGGCAGTTTAGCCAGCGGTGAGAATTTTTGGGTGGCAGTTTTAAGCCTGCGGGTAGCGATATTTGTGGTTGGCAGATTTAAGCCAGCGGGTGAGGATATTTCGGTGGCCAGTCTTAAGCAAGCGGGTGAGGATAATCTCGGGTGGCAGTTTTTATCCTGCGGCGTGTGGTTATTTGTGGTGGCAGTTTTAAGACAGCGGGTGAGGATATCTCGGGTGGCAGTTTTAAGCCAGCGGGTGAGGATATTTCGGGTGGCAGTTTTAAGCCAGCGGGTGCGGATATCTCGGGTGGCAGTTTTAAGCCAGCGCGGGTGAGGATATTTCGGGTGGCAGTCTTAAGCCAGCGGGTGAGGATATCTCGGGTGGCAGTTTTAAGCCAGCGGGTGAGGATATTTCGGGTGGCAGTTTTAAGCCAGCGGGTGAGGATATATTTGGGTGGCAGTTTTAAGCCCAGCGGGTGGGTGGCAGTTTAAGCCAGCGGGTGAGGATATTTCGGTGGCGTGGCAGTTTAAGCCAGCGGGTGAGGGGTGGCAGTTTTAAGCCAGCGGGTGAGGATATTTCGGTGGCAGTTTTAAGCCAGCGGGTGAGGATATTTCGGTGGCAGTCTTAAGCCAGCGGGTGAGGATATCTCGGGTGGCAGTTTTAAGCCAGCGGGTGAGAATATTTGGGTGGCAGTTTTAAGCCAGCGGGTGAGGATATTTGGGTGGCAGTTTTAAGCCAGCGGGTGAGGATATTTCGGTGGCAGTCTTAAGCCAGCGGGTGAGGATATCTCGGGTGGCAGTTTTAAGCCAGCGGGTGAGAATATTTGGGTGGCAGTTTTAAGCCAGCGGGTGAGGATATTTCGGTGGCAGTTTTAAGCCAGCGGGTGAGGATATTTCGGTGGCAGTCTTAAGCCAGCGGGTGAGGATATCGCGGGTGGCAGTGGCGATTTTCCGCCAGGGACGGTGATGATATTTCGGGGCCAGTTGCGCAAGAGGGCACGCGCGCAGCCGCAGCCTGCCCGCAGCCGCACGCGCGCTCAAGCTCGCTTTTCCACTAGGGAACGCATCGCACTTCCTGCCACATCTTGGGCATCATGCCTGTACGCAAAAAGCCGAGAGGACGACGAGGAGGAAGAAGGCGGAGGACGCGGACGGGATGAGGAGGCAGCAGAAGGGAGGAGGAGGAGGAGGAGGAGGAGGAGGAGGAGAGGAGGAGGAGGAGGAGGAGGAGAGGAGGAGGAGGAGGAGGAGGAGGAGGAGGGAGGAGCCGAGAAGAGCTGTGCTCGGCGCGGGCATCCAGCCGCCACGCGATGCGTCATTCGCTTGGTTGGCCCAGCCGACGGCTACGCATCCAGCGCGGTGCTGCGCCCGTATATATGCTCGCCCCTTGGCTTGGGGCTGGCGGGGGGCCAAGGGGCGAGCTGTCCAGTCATTGTGTGTCCCAGGGCCCCCTTTGACAGTGGGGGTTCGCACGTCGCCACCTGGCCATGGCTCTGCCGGCGGAAGCGCGGGGGCGCGGCTCCGCCAGCGGAAGGCCGGCGGAGCCTGGCCTCGGGCATCCGGGATCCGAGGAGGGCCATTTTGAGACGACGGCGGCCCTCGCTGGCGTTCTGTTGATGGGCGTGTTTTCCACCACCACCACCACCACAAGTTTGAGGGGGCCATCCTCCTCCTCCTCCTCCTCCTCCTCCTCCTCCTCCTCCTCCTCCTCCTCCTCCTCCTCCCCTTCCTCCTTCTCCATCCTCCTCCTCGCCCTCCTCCTCCTTCCCCCCTCCAGCTGGTGGTGGTGGTGGTGGAGAACAGGCTCATCACCTGTCCCTCCTCTCTGGGCCTCCTGGAGGGTTCTCGTCGCCACGGCCGGGTTCGCCTCGGGAAAGGGGCTCAGACGGACTCCGGGAGGGGGGGTGCGGGGAGGGAGTTCGGTGGAGCGGACTTCGGCCGAGCGGGGCAGCTGCAGCTGCGTCAGCTGGCCCTCCTTCGACCAGAGAGTTGCACCGCTCGGTATCGTTTCACCGATCCCCATCCCCATCCCCATCCCCTTCGAGACCCCCGCCAAATTACCCCCCAGTTGGGGATACACCCCTCGAAACCCAAAGGGGACGGCCTACATCCCCATCTAGGCGAGTCATTGCCAGTGGGGCCCAGGCCACGCCGCTGGGGGTGGGGATCGGTTAACCGATACTCAATTTCTGACCCAGCCACACGAGCGGCGTCGAGTTGAGGGCGCGCGGAAGCTGCCCGCGCGTGGCAGTTCCGCGTCGTGTCGACGCGGCGCCGGCCTCGGCGCCGGTGGGGAGACCCCAGTACGGGCGTTCAAGGTTGAACGCCAGCAGGCCGTGACTCCAGCGCCTCCTCCTCCTCCTCCTCCTCCTCCTCCTCCTAGTCGGCGCGAGGGGCTTAAGATTTCATTTCCGACCGACCCACTCGCACAAACTGCCCGCCGACTGCTCCAGGGCCACAAAAACTTCCCGCGGCCAGGGGGGGAGAGGGCCTGGAAGGCGTTCTGGGACCGCCGTCCAAGGGAGTGAACCAGAGGCAGCACATTCCGATAGTGTACTTCCCTTTTGCACTCGTTCTCTTCCTGATCCAGGGATGGCCGCAGCGGCTGCCGAGTACGGCGGCCGCGTTGGACGTCCAGGAGCTCCTCCAGGATTCGGCACAGAGCGCACGCGAATCAGACGGCAGATGAGAAAGATGCACATACAGAAAATGTCATTTCAAATCAAATATTTGGAGGCGGCGTTGAATGACATCGTTGATGGACCCACTTTCCGGGACCAAAGCACGAATACTGATAGACAAGTGGAACCAGAGCAAATCACATACGGACTTCCTTTGATATCGGCAGACGGTTGCGTATGCTTGGTTTCTTTAGCATCAAAGTGGGAAACTTGCACGGACGAGCTCGTGGGACTCTTATGCGGTACGACTCAGATCAAAGAAGATAGTTACTTATTTCCCAGGCGTTGGCAGCCGAACAATCAGTTGGGACCTCCACCAGATACTTTGCAGGATTGCACCGGGGAGCTTTTCGGGCTCCTTTCCAGCGCGGCAACAGAGGATCGTTGTCCCGTCTCGTTGAGTAATAAACAAGAAAGGCGGTCATTGGATCGCTGTGGGAAAAATATTATAAAGCAGAACAAGCTCAAAGTGAAAGGGGGCAAAATTAAGCACACCATAGTGTTTCAATCAGCGAAGCGACTCGTTTATGGAGACTCAGTTTCAGCGAAGCTTGGGAGATTGTTGGACAGCGTATATGACATTCTGATTACAGACCAGGCCGCGAAATATGGAATTTCTTTGAGGGAGCTGCAAAGCCGAATGAGGTCTCGAGATACAAGACAGGACATTGGTTTAGCCGTGCAAATCTGGATGTGGATAGGCACGATATACTGCAGAGAATCAAAGTATTATTCAAAAGATTGAGTGTGAATATTTCTTCTGCGTTGCCTCCCTCCCCCGATCCTCTGCTCACAGACGGTGACGGGAGCGCCCCCCTGCTCCCTAGGAACCGAAAAGAAAGAAAAGAACGAAGCGGGGGGGCACGCGTTTGGCGTGACGAGGTTGTTGAGTGTGCATTTCTCATTGTCGTGCGTGCTGCTCCGAAGAGAACGGCATAGCAACGTAATGTGGCTGTGCATGTGCATGTGCATGTGGGTAGCAAGCAGCGTCGCAATCTAGTGCACTTCGTGTTCGGTTCACAATCACCAGGCCCTTTTGGGGGGGAGTCTCGCGAGGACCCGACATCGCCAGACTCCCGACCCCCGACTTTCCTGAGCTTGTGAGAGCGTGTCGCCCTCCGCTTAAGGGCCACCCTGTTCGGCTCGCCTCTGGTGGGGAGGGGGGGAGGAGGGGGCGGGGGGCGTGGAGGCAGAGAGCCCACAGGGTCGTCTGGGCAGGCCGCGGGATCTTGTTCGTGCTCGATCCTCGGCCCTGCTTCCATATTCTTCGCAGGGAGGTCAGAAGAGCCCAAGCGGTAGTGCTGCTGCTGCTGAGGATCGTCTCCCCAAGCGTCTTGTCTTGTCTTGTCCTCCTCCTCCTCCTCCTCCTCCTCCTCCCCCACCTCGTCCTCCTCCTCCTCCTCCTCCTCCTCCTTCTCCTCCTCCTCCTCCTCCTCCTCTTGCTCTTCCTCCTCCTCCTCCTCCTCCTCCTCCTCCTGCTCCTCCTGCTCCTCCTGCTCCTCCTCCTCCTCTTGCTCTTCCTCCTCGGGCCAATGCCCGTTTCTCCGCTCGATTCGACTTGATATCGTCTCTGGTTGGCTCGACCCGATTCGATGGCGATGTTCCCACGAGCCGATCTGGTCAAGGAGACCAAGGCGCAGGTCGTGACGATTGCGGCGTCAAGAAACCAGTGCGCAGGTCCTCGCAGCACGACTGGGCAAGGTTGTGCGAACGCGCCTTCTCTTCCGCGCAGTGTGCCGCACTGGCACGTGGCGTGAGCCATGGCGTGAGCCATCGCGTGCGACCCTGGCCGGGCCCATCGTTGGGTCCCAGAATCGGTTGGCACGCCGCTTCTGGCGAAGCCACGAAGGCGGATCCCACGATCTTTCTATGGCCCAGGATGAGCCCGGCCAGGGGCAGAATTTCTTAGTATCGTTTCACCGATCCCCATCCCCATCCCCATTCCCTTCGAGACCCCCACCAAATCACCACCCCAGTTACGGATACACCCCTCGAAACCCGAAGGGGACGGCCTATTTCACCATCTAAGGGGGTAAATCGGCCAGTGGGGCCCAGGCCACGCCGCTGGGGATGGGGATCGGTTAACCGATACTCAGTGTTATGGGGATTGACCCTTGGCGCCCCCGACAACTGGCCACCTGGGACTGCGAGGTCGTCCAGGGCTGAAGCTCTGTTCTGGCGGGGCGTTCTCTGTCTTAGTCAGCTCTCGGTTCGCTGTTTTCCTTCCCGAGGTCGGCCTCGAGCTGTACAAAGGAAACATGGCCACGCCGCAAGCCAGTGGACGGCGTGCGTAAGTTGAATAGCCGCAGCAATTGCAAAATGCGTGGGGTTTCCTTTTTTCCCCCTGCGTCATACATCCTCCGTCCTCCAGGGTCCTTCCTCCCTCCTCCATTCCCTTTCCGTATAAATCATTTCTCCTTGTCGCACACCGAGGCCAGTTTTTAGGGCGGGCCGGTCGTTCCGCCTGAGACTTCCTCACCACTTAGAATTCTGAAGCTGAAAACATGGCAGCAATTTCTGAGATGGAGGATGGGTCGTTTTCAAAATGTGGCTCTCGCCTCATCGCCGACGTTTGCACGAGTTTCACGGTTTGAGGGCGGGTGTTGTTTTAAATGTGGCTCTCGCCTTAGCGCCGCGCACATTCGTTTTACAAGCATCGGACGAGTTTCACGGATTGAGGGCGGGTGGTTTTCAAAATCAAAATGTGGTTCTCGCCTTAGCGCGGCCACATTCGATTTGAACATGTGCAAGAGTTTCGCGGATTGAGGGCGAGTCGTTTTTCAACATGTGGTTCTCGCCTTAGCGCGGCGCAATTCGTTCAAACATTTGCAAGAGTTTCACGGGTTGAGGACGAGTCGTTTTCACAATGTAGTTCTCGCCTTAGCGCGGCGCACATTCGTTTCAAACATGTGCACGAGCTTCACGGATGGAGGGCGTTATTTCTTCAACATGTGGTTCTCGCTACAGTGCCGCGCACATTCGTTTACACAGTGTTCAAGAGTTTCACGGGTTCTCAGCATCAACTAACCAGAAACGGTGCTTTGGAAGGATTTAGGATTATGCTGGTACAGCAGTTACGTTGATTCTTTGTGTCGAAGTCCTAGAAATGGCGTTCTGGCACGATTCAGGATCGTCAAGACGCAACAGTCAGGTTGATCCGTGGCGTTGGAATCCCGAGAACCATGTCTTGGGGCATGTTTCAGGGTCTTCAAACGGGTGTCTTCCAACGAGGCAGTTGCATCAATGGAAATGAACCGTTGTAGGGGCCTATGAAGAGGGAGCTTGGAGGGAGGGTTCACTCCAGCATCGCTGATGATTCTTGGGTTTACACTGGTCCTGCTCCTTCTCCTCCTCCACCTCCCGTTCACCCTCCTCAATTTGCCCCGGCTTTTCAATTAACTAGCAGCCTTGGCCCATCTCGCCTCCATTCTTGATTCGTGGGCCAGAGACATCTGGATCTGGACGCTGTCCAGACCGAAGAGGGGAGGACGGCGACTGGGACGACCCCTGCATTTCTCTCTCTCTCTCTCTCTTTTTCTCTTGTTCTCTCTGTTTATGTATCACTCTCTTCTCGGCCTCCTCTCCTCCTCTTCCTTTTCCTCCTCCTCCCCCTCCTCCCCCTCCTCCTCCTCCTCCTCCTCCTCCTCGCCCTCCTCGCCCTCCTCGCCCTCCTCCTCCTCTTCTGGAGGCCCGGCCACGCCCCCGAGGTCTCCTCTGGAGAGGCCGCACGGTGCACCCTCCGAGCGCCCGACGGGGTCTCGCCAGGGCAGCCCGGAGGCGCCCGACGGGCGGGGGGGCGTTCCAGGCTCTCCAAATGCGGCCTTCAGGAGGCCCAAGGAGGGGGAGGAGGAGGAGGAGGAGGTGGAGGAGTAGGAGGAGGAGGAGGTGGAGGAGGAGGAGGTGGAGGCGGAGGAGGAGGAGGAGGCGGAGGAGGAGGACGAGGAGGAGGAGGAGGATTCGGAGGACGAGGAGGACGAGGAGGAGGCGGAGGACGAGGAGGACGAGGCGGAGGAGGAGGAGGAGGAGGAGGAGGAGGAGGAGGTGTTTGCCCTCCCTCCTGGGCCTGCCCGAGGCCTCTCGCCGCCTTCTCGAGACCTCGCCTCGCCACGGTCGGAGCAGTGCCCGCGGCGCGGGTGCGGAGTCGGCGCAGTGCCCACGGCACAGACGCGGAGCCCCGCCCTCTCTTCCTCCCATCCCCTCGCCGCACATTCCCTCTTGAGTACGGCCTCTTGTCATCAAACTAAACATCATCACCACCGTCAACAACAACAACAACATCATCATCATCATCATCATCATCAGCATCATCATCATCATCATCATCATCATCATCATCATCATCAGCCGCATCATCGTCATCATCATCATCAACATCATCATCATCATCATCATCATCATCAGCCTCATCATCGTCATCATCATAATCAGCATCAACATCATCATCAACCTCATCATCATCATAAGCATCAACACCAGCATCATCATCAATCGCAGCATTGCCATCGTCATCATCATCAGCAGCAGCAGCATCACCATTAGAGTCATCAACATCATTGGCATCATACACATAAACCGCATCATCACAATCGTGTTTGGAATCATCATCATCATCATCATAATCATAATCATCATCATCATCATCATCATCATCATAATCATCATTATCATCATCATTCGCATCATTAGCATCATCAACATCAGCCTCATCATCATCATCATCATCATCATCTTCATCATCACTATCATCATCGTTATCGCCATCGTCATCGTCATCATCATCCTCATCATCGTCATCGTCACCATCGTCATCCCCGTCGTCGTCGTCAGCATCATCACCATCGTCAGCATCACTATCATCCTCAGCATCATCACAAGCATCGTCCACGTCATCGTCAACATCATCATCATTGCCATCGTCATCGTCTTCAGCATCATCAGCAATAGCATCAACAACATCGTCGTCGTCTTCGTCCTCACCATCATCACTATCATCCTCATCACCACCACTATCATCATCGGCAGCACCATCATAATGAGTATCAATATCTCAGCAGCATAATAATCCTGGCCATCAGCATCACAATCAAGATCATCATCAACAACACCACAAACAGCATCGTCATAAACCTCATCAACAGCATCCTCCTCCTTACCATCATCATTGTGTTCCCCCCCTTCCTCCTCGCCCGAGCCCTTCTCCACCGTCCTCCTTGCTCTCCACCTGTCTCTCCCTCTGCTCGCCCTCGTCACCCTCCATCCTCGCACTCCTTGCTCATGCTATTCGTATTCGGTGCGACAGCGATTGGTGTGTTTATATGCAGCGGCAGTTCAAAGTCAATAGAAGCTTCCCACGATCTCATGAGAGAGGGGATCAGTGTACGTACATCCAGTTGCGGCAGGTTCCGCCACCGTGCCAGCGACAAGGGAAGTTCGCCCTTCCTCCTCATCCTCCTCTCATCTCCATTCTCCCCCCTCCGTGGCATCCACTCTTATCAGGCGAGTGAGGAGGAGGAGGGAACCAGAGGGGTGAACGCGAAGAGTGGGATGGGCAGGAGGAGGAGGGGTATTCTCCTCCTCCGCCCCCTCCTCTTCCACCCTGATATCTTCCTTCTACCCTGCCCTTTCATCTGCCTTTGCCCCCGTCCCCCATGTGCCTGCGTCGAGCTCAGCCTCGGGGCGAAGGCGTGGTGTAGCCCAACAGAGCAGCAGCATGGCAGGGCGAGAAAGAGGACAAGAGGCGGCCGTTCCTTGCCTCCTCGGTCGGCCGGGCACTGCAGACTGAATCTGAATGCAGCCGACTCAAGCCTTGGTCGGTGTCGCAGGGGGATCTGCAGCCATTTCGTCTCGAGCCTGCTCGATTCGGAGCATTCCAGCGCTGGCAAGGGTTACCAGAGGTTGTTCGGAGCAATGGGCGAGGGCGACAACGACGCGCTCGACAACGACGCGATCATGGTTCTTGACGCGTGCTGCTGCTGCTACGAAGGCCTGCTCTGCGGGGATGGATGCCTGGGGTGCATGGCGAGCGAGACCTTGTGCTGCCTGGAGGTCGAGTACTGCTGCAAGCAGGGCGCGCCGACGCTCTGCTGCGTGTGCTGCGCGATCCGCTGCGTCTCGCCCACCGTGTGCATCAAGTCGCAGGGCCAGATGTGCTGCCTTGCCGGGGCGGCCGCCATCCCGTGCGACGAGGAGGTCCCCTGCATGGTTGGCTCGTGCGGCATCATCTGCTACCCCACGGTCGCCATCTGCAAGACGCTGGGCGAGATCAAGGGTGGCGGTAGCGGGAGTGGACCCGAGGCTGAGCAGGTGGGCTGAGGCCAGTGAAATGGATCCGTGCAGCCGCTCTGCCTGCTGATGGTACCAGCATGGCCACTGCGGCACGACAGCCCAGGCCACGAATGGCTCCGCTGCTTTGATGCACGAAGGCGAGCTAGGCTGCTGTCGCGATTCGGATGTTTGTTTAAAAGGTGTGCACCGCGCTCTGACCTGTCTCAGCATCATCATCAGCATCAGCATCAACATCAACATCATCACCATCATCGTCAAGGTCATCATCAACATCCTTATCATCATTGCCATCGTCATCAGCATCAGCATCAGCATCTGCACCATCAGCATCAGCATCATCAGCATCAACACCATCGTCGTCGTCTTCGTCCTCACCATCATCACCATCATCCTCATCACCACCACCATCAGCATCGGCATCACCATTATAATGAGTATTGTCATCAGCAGCATCAGTATCCTGGCCATCAGCATCACAATCAACATAATCATCAACAACACCACCGACAGGATCGTCATAAACCTCGTCAACAGCATCCTCCTCCTTCTCCTCCTCCTCCTTACCATCATCATTGTGTTCCCCCTGCCTCCTCGCCCGAGCCCTTCTCCACCGTCCTCCTTGCTCTCCACCTGTCTCTCCCTCTGCTCGCCCTCGTCACCCTCCATCCTCGCAGTCCTTGCTCATGTTATTCGTATTCGGTTCGACAGCGATTGGTGTGTTTATATGCAGCGGCAATTCAAAGTCAATAGAAGCTTCCCACGATCTCATGACAGAGGGGATCAGTGTACGTACATCCAGTTGCGGCAGGTTCCGCCACCGTGCCAGCGACAAGGGAAGTTCGCCCTTCCTCCTCATCCTCCTCTCATCTCCATTCTCCCCCCTCCGTGGCATCCACTCTTATCAGGCGAGTGAGGAGGAGGAGGAGGGAACCAGAGGGGTGAACGCGAAGAGTGGGATCGGCAGGAGGAGGAGGGGTCTTCTCCTCCTCCGCCCCCTCCTCTTCCACCCTGATATCTTCCTTCTACCCTGCCCTTTCATCTGCCTTTGCCCCCGTCCCCCATGTGCCTGCGTCGAGCTCAGCCTCGGGGCGAAGGCGTGGTGTAGC